TGCTTGATATAAAATTCTAGGTCGGAAACGACTGTCCTTACATTTTTTAAGGCATTGCTCTATCGTCTTTTAGGTTTCCAGGGTCACCATCCATTCAGAAGCCCAGAGCTATTCTAAGTCCTAATCATTTTTCTAGGACCTGGTTTTCTCTCGGAAAACTTTTAGGATCTTGAATCGTTCCCAGTGTTTAAGTTGCACAATGGTATGACTTGGTGTGGTTGACTTTGATCCATTGTGCTGGGCACTCCCTGAACCCTTTCCATCTAAAAACTCTGCTCCATTTGTTCTGAGAACTTGTTCTGAATAATTTCATTGACGCTTCTTTCCCCATTTCCTCTGCTCTTTCTGAACTTCTATTTCTCAGTTTTCCTGGCCTGGTGCTTTATATTGTCCCCTTGTTTTTCATCTCATTGTTTTTTCGTTTTGCTTTTCAGAAGAGTTCCTCCGTTTTACTTTCTAGTCTTCCTTCAGATATTTTCATTTCCTCCAAAGTGTTTTAATTGCCAAAGGCTCCTTTGTGTTCTCTGTGGGTTCCTTTTATAATGCAGCATCCTGTTCGTGTTTCATGGTTGTGTAGTTTTCCTCTCCATGCACACTCCCTGTTCCCTCCAAGGCCTTCCCATCGCCATGTGTTTGTTTTAATCTCTTATTTTTCCCATTTGAGGCTTCCCTCGGGCATCTGGATCTCAGCTGCTGGCTCACATCTGAGGGTGGGGCCCTAAAAGCTGGCTGGATTGGAGCTTGTTGACTGAACGACGGGGTACGTGATTTGGCTGTACTGCTTCATCCAGGAATCCTCAATGTCAGTATCTTTACATCTTTTCTCTTTTTTTCTCTTTTCTCTGTTCAGCTTTCCCCACTCTTCTACTGTCCAGCCTGGGAGGTAATAGCCTGGCACCAGTCTGGGGACCGAGTGGTACCTGGGGGCTGGGGTCTCAAAATCCTGCCTGTCGACGTTCCCTTAATGACCACGTGTTTAGTCTGGTGCGGCCCCGCAGTGAACCTGCCTTGTGTCCTGCAGTCCAAACTCTCTTTTTTTTCTCTCCAAAAAATAAACCTCCCGTCTTTTGCGGGTTGGGGCTGGGCAGTTGCCAATCTGGGGAGGAGATCAGGTGGTCTGTTTTAGAAGCAACTTTCATCCAATCCTCTTACTTGGGACCCTCCTTACTTCATTCCCAACTCCACTCCCAGAAACAGGTGCTTCTCCCAATTCGCAAGGCTTCCGCAGGTGTTTTTTAAATATATTTTTTTATTGATTCCACAGAGGGAGGGAGAGGGAGAGATAGCAACATCAATAATGAGAATCATTGATTGGCTGCCTCCTGCACGCCCCCTACTGAGGGTCGGGCCCACAAGCCAGGCATGTGCCGTTGACCGGAATCGAACTTGGGACCATTCCGTCAGCAGGCCAACGCGCTATCCACTGAGCCAGACCAGCTAGGACTGCGGGTGTTCTTTACAAATTACAGTGTTGTTGCTGTTTTCATTACCAGCCCATTTTTTTCTTTTCTCAGATAGGTCTGCCTACCAGATAGGTTGTCACCTGTCCCTCTGCCTTCCAGCTTCCACATTATACAGGGTGGGCAGAAGTAGGTTTACAGTTGCTTATATAGAAAATAATTCATAGGTAATAACATACAAGTAAGTTCAGTTTTTCACATACAACTGTAAATTTACTTTGGCCAGACCTTGTATTGCTACTTTGTTCTCCAAGTCTCCTTGTCCCTATGTGTGTATGCTTTAAAGATCTTTTTCTAATCTTGTCCAAGTTTCAGGAGTCAGTGAAATCAGGTGGGTAGTTCAACTGGCATTTTTAACTGTAAGGCTCCCAGTAATTTATATTTCAAATTTCCTCTAACCTGTAGTGAGGAAGGAACATGGTGAGGTCCAAAAGAACCCAGCTCTTCTAAGTCCTCACCTTCCAGGGGACGGGAGGACCCCAGTGTAATGCAAGAACCTTGGAAGTGGACTGGCTGACTTGGATTAAATGAAGAGAATCGGTTTTGAGGTCAGATGCCCCCAGGTATAAAGGCTAGCTTCATCAATTTTTACCAATGTGACCGGGAGGAAATGACTTCCCTTTTCTGGGCCTCAGTTTCTTTACCTGTAGCATGAGAACAGCAGCATCTCGAAAGACTACGTGTCTATGTGTGTGTGCAAGTGGGGAGGAAGGTTTAGATGACACATGTAGAGTGCCCCCAGCACACTACTCTGAAGGAATTCAACAGGTACACACTAAATGGTAGTTCTCCTCTCCTTCTCCATCGAGCTAGGGATTGTACCGGGGGTGACGACAAAGTCTCCATCCCCAGGGCAGGGCCCACAACAACCAAGGGCAGGTGGCAAAACTCTCACAGGCCCTGGCATGCCATCTGCGTTAGAAGCCAGGCATGTGGCCTCACCGGTCTATCGACGTGCTCAAGAGCGTAAATCCCAAAGACAGTCATGAGGAGGCTTGGGCCCCCTCTCTTTAACTGGGGACGCTTGGGCTGGGGGATGCCCCAATTCCTGGCTGGTTTGGATCTCACATCAGGTTACCTGAGATGACCCTAGTCCCTTCAAATGTAAGTTGTGTGTGTGTGTGTGTGTGAATCCTCATTGGAGGATATTTTTTCCATTTGTGTTAGAGAGAGTGGAGGGGGGTGGTTGGGCCTCAGTTTCTTTACCTGTAGCATGAGAACAGCAGCATCTCGAAAGACTACGTGTCTATGTGTGTGTGCAAGTGGGGAGGAAGGTTTAGATGACACATGTAGAGTGCCCCCAGCACACTACTCTGAAGGAATTCAACAGGTACACACTAAATGGTAGTTCTCCTCTCCTTCTCCATCGAGCTAGGGATTGTACCGGGGGGTGATGACAAAGTCTCCATCCCCAGGGCAGGGCCCACAACAACCAAGGGCAGGTGGCAAAACTCTCACAGGCCCTGGCATGCCATCTGCGTTAGAAGCCAGGCATGTGGCCTCACCGGTCTATCGACGTACTCAAGAGCTGGACTTGGATGGCAAACCTGGCTTGTAAAACCCAAAGACAGTCATGAGGAGGCTTGGGCCCCCTCTCTTTAACTGGGGACGCTTGGGCTGGGGGATGCCCCAATTCCTGGCTGGTTTGGATCTCACATCAGGTTACCTGAGATGACCCTAGTCCTGCTTCAAAGGTAAGTTCTGTGTGTGTGTGTGTGTGTGTGTGTGTGTGTATCCTTATTGGAGGATATTTTTTCCATTTGTGTTAGAGAGAGTGGAGGGAGGTGGTGAGGGAGGAAAGGAGGAAGGGAGAGAGAGAGAGAAACATCGATGTGAGAGAGCCACATCCATTAGTTGCCTCTCCAATGCAACCCACATTTCCTAGAACCAAACCCACAATCTTTTGGTTCAAGGGCCAGTGGTCTAACCACTGAGAAACACCGTCAAGGGCCAGGTTGAAGTTCTTTAACATTCAAAACAGTGGTGTCTTTGAGCCTGATGGTGCTCTCAGGAACAACCGGAAGTCACATGATAGGACTGCATCATTAACTTCCCACCATTGATCATGAGTTCAATCTTACTGGTTCCAAGCATCTGTTCAAAATTTTTGTCGTGTCAATGAATTAATAATATCAAATAATAGCTGTGATTATCTGAGAGCTTAAGAATACGACAGGTACTATTCCAAGCACTTTACTGAAGGTGATACTGTTATTATGTCCACTTACACATGAAGAATCTGAGGCAGAGGGAAGTGGCATGACTTGGGTGAGGTCACACAGCTAATAAGTTGCATATCCTGGATTTGGACCTGAGCAGACCAGCTCCAGAGTCCATACTCTCAAGACATTATGGAAAGTGTTTTCAACCAAAAAGAATATTTATTCAGCCATTAATATGTTCTAAGGTAATCATGTTACCTAGACCAGTGGTTTGCAGCTGGGAGAATTTTGCCCCAGAGAACACATTTGGCAACGTCTGGAGACATTTTTAGTTGTCAAAACTTGGGGTGGGGGTTACTTCTGGCATCTAGTGGGTAGAGATCAGGGATGCTGCTAAAGGTGCACAATATATAGGCCCCTACAAGGAAGACTTATCTGGCCCAAAATGTCAGTAGTATTGAGGTTGAAAAACCCTGGCAGACAAGTACGGAAATGCAGACAGACAAATAAGCAGATATATTGTGATACATGCGATGAAGAAATAAACAAAGAGCATTACTGGGGCTAACTTCGGGGAGAGGAGTCTGCTGATGGAGTTGTTACAGTAAGCCTCTCAGAGGCAATGAAAGATAAAACTGGAAGGATGAGAAGGAACCAGTTGTGCAAAAGGATCAACAGAAAAACATTCTAAGCCGGGGAACAGCAAGGACGAGGGGAAAAGTTGCAGGGCAGACTACCGGAGCAGAGGGTGAGCCTAATGACTGACAGCATGAGATGGGGTGGGCATGGCTGGCAGGGGCCATGAAAAGAGCAATGAGAAGTCACTGAAGGTTTTTTTTTTAATTGTAGTAAAATAGCCCTGGCTGATGTGGCTTAGTTGTCCCAGGCACCAAGAGGTTGCCAGTTTGATTCCCAGTTAGGGGGCATGCAGGAGACAGCGGATGAATGTTTCTCTGTCATCAATATTTTTCTCTATCTCTCCATCTCTCAAATCAATAAAAACATATATATTTTTTTAAATGTGGTGAAATATATATTTAACAAAAAATTTACCACTTTAACCACCTTTAAGTGTACATTCATATTGTTCAAGCATCACCACCATCCATCTCCAGAACTTTTTCATCTTCTCAATCTTAAACTCCAGAGCCATTAAATACTAACTCTCCATCTATCACTTCTCCAGCCACTGAAGGGTTGTAAACAAGGAGTTAATGTAACCTGGTTGGCATTCTGAGATGATGACAAATGAAAGAAAATGCAAGGAAAATGGCAAATGAATCATGGCAGGGCACAGGAAGAGATGGTTTGCACAAGGAGTGGAGAAAGAGGAAAGTGGGGAGATCTGAAAGGCAGTACAGACAGGACTTGGGGCAGCCATGCCCTCCCCGCTTGTGGTGGTGGAGGGTGGGCCCTGGTGGTGGTGGTGGGGGTTACTCACAGCTGACCTGGGAGCCCAGCTTGTGCTCCCAGACGGCATGCAGCTGCTGATACTCCTGCTGTGCAAGCTCCAGACGCTGCCGCTTCACCTGGTAGATCTCCTTCTGTGCACTCAGGGCCTCCTGGGCCACCACCAGGTAATCCTTCAGCATGTGCTCCTGCTCCCGCCGCCATTGCACCCGCGGGTCCTCGATCTGAGTGGTTTCTGGAACAGACCCGAGACTCTAGGTCAGCACCTCACAAGTATCTGTTGGGTTGGTGGCCTGCGGCATCCACTACCAGGAAACAAGAAGCATAATGAATAGCAAACCACAATAAATGTGAATGGGTTAAACTTACTTACCTGTTATACAACAAAGGCTCTTCACTTTGAGGCAAACAAACACAAAATAAACCAGGATCAATTTCCAAACCCAGAGTCAATCTGTCTGAGTATAGCTAGGAGAAAGACCAGAATTGAGTTCTAATCTAGACAGAGGCTCAAGGACATTATAGATGCTTAAGGTCATCTGTTTTGGTAAAGAGCAAAGTAAAGCAAAATAAATAATACTTCAGAGGATATGAAGAAATAGGAACTCCCATACTCTACTAGAAATGTAACTTACAAGAGCCTTAACGAGAGGGCTATCTGACCATGTACAGTAAGAGCCTTAAAATGTTAACCCTTTGACCAATAATTCCCCTTATAGCAATTTATTATAATAATAAGTAATAAGAAATTAAAGCGAAGATGCATTTGTACAAAACCATCATAATAATATAAAAAATAAATGAGCACTTACTTGATGTTTATTCTATACCAAGCACTATCCTAATTACTTTATATCTATTTACTGATTCAATCCTTACACTACCTCTATAAAGGGGATTCTATTACTGCCCTCATCATACAAAAGTTTTTAAAGTTTGTAACTTTTTAAAATTTATATTTTTTGGAAATATACTACAAAATAAAACAAAGGAAATGTTAACCCTTTGATCAATAATTCCCTCAATTGCAAATTTATAAAATAAGAGGTGAGAGTTCCCATCTCTGTAGTCCTATTCCCCAGAGGTAACTGTTGTTAAGAGCTCACACACTTGCAGATATTGTCCCCTACTTACCTACAAATTTGTTTTTATATATGTGTATATATACACAAACTTATTTGTTTTTTGTTTAAATATGTTTTTCTTGATTTCAGAGAGGAAGGGAGAGGGAGAAATATCAATGATGAGAGAAAATACCTCCTGCATACCTCTACTGGGGATCCCATTACCGGGCATGTGCCCTTGACCCGAATGGAACCCAGGACCCTTCAGTCCACAGGCCAACGCTCTATCCACTCAGCCGAACCAGCTGGGGCCATAAACTTATTTTTAATGCAATGTGGTCCTGCATCATATATATTGGTCTACAAGCTTTTCACCTTTCCTAGTAAGTGTATAAAGATTAACCTCAATTTTTAATAAGTTTTTTAGTTATATTACTGCTTATATTTTTCACTTACCTCAATTGTTTAAAGGACAGCACAGTATTCCATGGTATGGTATTAGGTTTCTTTACGGTAGGGTACTAGTGGTTCCCCAGACCACTCATGGGAAACTTCTGAATTGTTCTCAATTCTTTTGCTACCACAGTCAATGCTGCAGTGAGGGTTCTTAACAAACATACTTCCGTGAACTTGTCTATGAATTGTGTAGGATAGCGTTCCTAAAAGAGGAACTGCTGGCTCAGAGAATAAACACATTTACAATAGTGATAGTACCAAATTACCTTCAAAACGTTGTACCAATTTTTATTCTCACAAAAAGCCCATGAGAGTGCCTTCCCCCACCTCCAATTCTCAGTAAAATTGCTGGAAAAAAAGAAGTTGAGCGGGCTGGAGGGGGTCAATGGCGGGAAAAAGGGGACATATGTAATACTTTCAAGAATAAATTATTATTTAAAAAAAAGAAGTTGGTGCTTCATCCAGTAATTCTGAGTCCCGGCAGCATATGAGAATCAGCCGAGGAGCTTCAAAAAAACAGGATCAAAGCCTCAGCCCTGTCCCAGGACACTTGCAGCACGTCCTCGAATAATGTCTTTTCGTCCACTGTCATTTCACATAATGCTGAAGAGCGGCCTTAGGAACTTAACTCCTGTATATCATTAGCCTACGATAAAATTGGTTTCGTTACACATACATTGCTTCGCAGAACACATGATGTGATCGCCAATCAAAACCCTCTAACCGTGATGAATGTAAATGCGAATACTGACATATGAAATAATGAGAATGGGTTATAATTTGGTTTTTGTTCTTTTGTTAATCCTCACCAGAGGATATTTTTTTCCCATTGATGTTTAGAGAGTGAAAGGGAAGGGGAGAGACAGAGAAACACTGATGTGAGAGAGACAGATCAATTGGTTGCCTCTCACACTCGCCCTGACCAGGGCCGGGAACCGGGCCTGCGACCAAGGTATGCGCCCTTGACTGGAATGGAACCCAGGACCCTTCAGTCCGAGGGCTGACGCTCTATCTACTGAGCCAAACCAGCTAGGGCGAGAATGGGTGATAATTTGGAAAGAACTGTCTATATGTGTTGTTTCTAGTTCCTCTCCTCCATCTTCTTCCTAGACTCACGACTTTTGCCCCCCAGTCCTTGTCCAAAGCTGCCCTCCACAGTTAGGGTCACCAGTGCCTCCTGGGTTACTAAAGCTAGTGGTCAACTCTGAGGCCTCTTCAGCGTTGACCTGACAGGGCTGACAACCCCCCGCCCCCCGCCCCCCGCCTTGATACACTTCCTTCCCGTGGTGCCCAGACCCTCGGGTTTCCCCCACCTTTCTGGTCACTCCTCAGAATCACTTGTTTTCCTCTTCTCCGCACCCTCTTACTATCTGAGGACCCCCTGGCTCATTCCTTGGTCTTCTTCAGTCTTGACATTTCCCTTTGGTAATCTCATCCGGCTTCATGTCTTGAAATACTATCTACAGCCAACAACTCCCGTGCACGTATCTTCAGCCCCGATCTCTTTCCAAGCTCCAGATTCCTACAGCAAGCTGGCCAGCATCATCTCTCAGACGTGTAAGAGGCATGGAAGACTCAACATGCCCCAGAGAACCCTTGTTCCTCCTCCTAAACCCACTCCTCCTGCAGTTTTCTCCATCCCATTGATGGCAACTCCATGGGGCCAGTTGCTGAGGTCCAATGAGAGTCATTCCTTCCTCTTTCTTCCTCATCCCATATGCAATCTATCAGGAAGTCCTGTGGGTTCTGCCTTGAAAATACATCCAGCATCTGGACACTTTTCACCACCTCCACTGCTACGGCTCTGCTCTGGGACTCTGTCCTCTGTCACCTGGACTGCTGCAATGGTCTCTCACAGGTCTCCCTGCTTCTGTCCTTACCCATAAAGGTCTATTGATAGCACAGCAGCCAGAGTGACCCTTTTAAGACATAGAGCAGAACTTGCCACTCATGTGCTGGAAGCTCTCCAATGGCTCCCATCTCACACGGAGTAAAAGCCAGAAAAGTATGGCAAATGGACCACAGCCCCATCTATCTCTGGTCTGATGCCCTTCCCCCTTTCCCTCACTCATTCTGCCTCCTTGCCATCCCTAAATGTGACTGCACCTTAGTTCTTGCTCTATGCTCTCTACTTGAAATGCTCCCTCACTCCTTAAAGTCTTAGCTCACTTCTCATTTTCTCAACAAGTCCTTCCCTGTCCTTGCCCCGTCATCCACAAACACACCCAGTCCATTAGCCCCACGCTCTGCTTTCTTTTCCCCATAATGCTGATAATTGTCTAGTACACTACCTAATCTGCTTATTTATTCTGTTTATTTTCTCTTTTGCCGAAATGAAAGCTCTATTAAGGGCAAGGATCATTGCCAGGGACTCTTATGTGTCTCAAGCTCCCAGGACAGAGCCTGGAACATTGCAGGTGGTAGGTGAATACTTGCTGAATGAATGTATGTCGGGTGGTAGATGTAATTTGTTGTTTAATTCTAACGTGTCTGTAACTCTTTTTTTTTAAAAAAAAATATATTTTATTGATTTTTTACAGAGAGGAAGGGAGAGAGATAGAGAGTTAGAAACATCGATGAGAGAGAAACATCGATCAGCTGCCTCCTGCACATCTCCCACTGGGGATGTGCCCGCAACCCAGGCACATGCCCCCGACCGGAATCGAACCTGGGGCCCTTCAGTCCGCAGGCCGACGCTCTATCCACTGAGCCAAACCAGTCTCGGCGTGTCTGTAACTCTTAAGAGAGCAATTTCAGTCAATGAACTCCAAGTCCAAGACTCTGAATGCTTGGGTCTTGATGGTCATATTCATGCCATTGGCATCACCGGCTCCATCTACAGAGGTGGCGGCCTCTATCCAATGAGAGCACCTTCACACCAAAAGGAACCAGTACCCTGATAGTTGGTAAAACTACCATAGAGAATTCTCCCTATTCTGGCCCCTATGTACTCCCATCCCCCCATACACCCACCTCATTTCTGCCAGCATCCCCTCAAGAATAAACTCTGCCACGGCCTGCTACTCCTTCCTTCCTTCCTTCCTTTTTCCAACGTCTCCCAGAAGCACCTTAAAATCCCACTCCTGCCATCAGATTTTAATGAGGGGGATGCACTCAGCAATTAGAAACAGGAAAGGCCTGATGAGGGCTCCTGCGCATCAGTGTTTAACCCAGCACGCCACGCAGCCCTCCCAGCATTAACCTCATTCCCCATGCACACCCAATTAGGCATATTTACTTCTCATTATCCAGTATGCAATCATGAGCGCTAATAAAGAGCCCTGCTACCCCCAACAATGCAATTAATGTCATTAGCTGTCTCTCAGAAACTCTTCTACACTTCGGTGCCAGGAGCGGTCCGCTCATTCATCCTTTAGTCACGCACTCAGGCATGTATGCCCTTTTCTACTCACTACGTGCCCTTATCTAGGAGAACCTGCAACACTAGGTAAGTGGCTATGCTACAGAGTGATGAGGGGCACGACAAAGGCATGGCCAGGTGCCACTGAAACCCAGAGGAAGTGGATGGACAAGCACCCCTCTACTCCCCAGCAGCGGTTCAAATCCCAGCTCTGCCATGTTTTAGCTCTGAGTATTCAGCGATGGATTACTACCTCTAAGTCCCATTTTTAAGATGGGGATAATCATCCTAACACCCCACAGGGTAGTTGGGAGGATGAAATGGGATGCTGCCTAGCTAGTGCCTTGCCCAGCATTGGCACAGAGTGTACGCACAGTACATGGGCTAGAATTTGCTGCCCTATTCTCAGCCTTCAAGCTTTGCCAGGCATGTCCCACTTCATTCCATTCTCCTTTTGCCTGAAAGGATCAAGGAAATTCTCCAACTCGCAAGGTTGAGAGTGAGCCAGAAAATCCTCTTTCCTCACATGAATAAATGGGGCAGCAAATTTCAGAAGGCAAGAATACTCCTGGCCAAGAAGGTGCACAATGGATGAAGCCCAAGCACACTCGATTCTCCTGGCTCAGGGACTACAACCAGGGCTCCTCCACCTGTCAGACAGCATGCTTGTCCATTTCTCAGCCTATTCCTCCACCACAGTCCCAGGGACAAAGACACCGGGAATCTTCATCTGCATCAGGATGCCAGGATCACAGACAGGAAGTGAGGGTGGGCTGATTCATACGATGGGCTAGAGACCACACACTCACACCACGCCCCTATGAACACCTATGTGTGCACACTGCTGGGGGCTTGCTGGGGCTCTGGCTGCTCCAAAATGATCTGGCAATGACACATCTACCTTTACGAGGAAAAGAAGGTCTGTATGCACATATGTTGATATATACATAAAAAAGGACATATCTACAATAATAAAAGCGTAATATGCTAATTAGACCAGATGTCCTTCCGGACGACCTTCCGAACAAAGCCAGGGCTGCGAGGAAAGCCCGGGTCCTGGGTGCCAGAGAGAAGCTGGTGCCGGTAGCTGGGGGAGGGAAGGCCTACTCTTGCACAAATTTCGTGCATCAGGCCTCTAGTATCTATATACACATCAACACACAATTGGGAAATTTCTGGAACGATACACACAACATTGTCAGCAGTGGCTGCCTCTATAGAATTAAGGAGATGAGTTATGAGAGGGGGAGTTTCAGATTCTACTTAATACCCTTCTAAACTATTATTTTATATGAGCATACATTATCTATCTATACCTACACTGACATCTCTACCTAACTGTACATAAAACAAAATACAGCTCACTGGTTGGGCATCGACCTGTGAACCAGGAAGTCATGGTTCAATTCCCAGTCAGGGCACATGCCTGAGTTGTGGGCTTGATCCCCGGTCGTGCAGGAGGCAGCCAATCAATGACTCTCTTTCATCATTGTTGTTTTTATCTCTCTCTCTCTCCTTTCCTCTCTTAAAGCAATAAAGATATATTTTTTAAAAAGAAGAAAAAAACCCCCACAAAATACAATTAGGCTTCAAGAGCCTCTTCCAGACTTAGGAGGTGAGCGTGAAGGTAGAGGATCGGGGAGAGGGGAGGAGAAAGGGAGGATGGCCAGGAACTTACTGGTGTTGTGGTCTATGAAGTAATCTCCAACCTGTGGGTCATACGCCTCTTCCCATCCTAGAGGCAGCTCATCGCTAATGCAGTCGGCGAAGGTGAGCGGTTTGGTGTACCTAGGGAGGAAGAGGAGAAAGACCATCAGCCTATGGTCCCCACAACCCTGCAACTCTTGGCCTCCATGCTACTCGGCGTTGGCCCAACAGATCCCAAAACCTAGCAACGACACCAGATCCATCCTTGTTGTCCCGGGAAGGTGAACACATGGAAGGAGCTAGGGAATCTGTGTCCCAGCTCCAACTTGGTCACTAACTAGGGAGACATATGAGCAGGCCACCTTCCTTCTCTGGGCCTCCAGTTCTGCATCTCGACCTGAAGGGTTTGCAGGAAAGGGCTCGAAGGTCTAGGCTTGCTTTTGGACTTGGACTCCAGCCCTCTCTGGCTTCTCCACCTGCAACTCCCTCGCCCGTCCCACCCCCAGTCTTCCTCCCAGCTCTATGGCACGATGTCATGCCCACTTCCCCTCTGGAAACCTGACTTACTGCAGCATCTAGAATAGCAGATGCCCCCGCCCTGTGAGTCTGGCCAAGAGCCGTATTTCTTGCCTCCTGAGCTGGTTCCCAAATGCCTGTGCCCACTGCTGTCCTTCCCGAGACAATCCAGCCCCAACTGATCTTTTAACAATAACCACCCACTAAGTCCCCGTTCTGCCAAGAGGGAAGTGGCAGTAATCACTCAGTCTTGTGGCTAAGTCAGACAGACATGCATCTCACCCAACTCAAGGAACAAAGACACCACAAACTGCCAGTCAAGTATTACAGCCAGAGTGCCAGGAATCTAGACATACCCGTCCGCCTGAGTGGCCTCTCCAGACAGCTCCTGCATTTCTAGAGTTGCTGCCTTTGCCTAAAATACATATTCTCATCTCCTCCCTCTCCTGTCTGCTCCCAACCCACTCCCAGTTCCAGACTCCCAGAGACTGCTTCACCGGTCTTTCTGCAGACTGGCAAACCGAGGTCCAATGGGACAAGAAGAAAGATGACTGTGAGGAGGTCTACGATCCTGATCAAGAACTTCCCTCCAAGCCCTGGCTTGGGTGGCTCAGTTGGTTGAGCCTTGTCCCATGCACCAAAAAGGCGCAGGTTTGATTCGGGGTCAGGGCACATGCCTGAGATGCAGGTTTGATACCCAGTAGGGGGCATGCGGGAGGCAGCCAATTGATGTTTCTCTGTCACATTGATGATTCTCTCTCTCAAAAATCAATAAAAACTTTGTGGTTTTTGTTGTTGTTTTTTAAAGAACTTCCCTTCAAGCCAAAGGAATCCACCCTCTCTCTTATCCTGTGTAATCTCCTTCCAAATCAAACTTGAAGCAAAACACATGGGGGAAAGAAAGACTGAAGGGCCCCTGGTGGAGAGACCTGGTGCATTTATGAGCTCTGCATATCCACGGTCTGGCAGGCTGTACAAATACCGATTGACTGAATTCCTGGCACTCTGGCTCAAAAGTTCTGTTAGTTGGAAATTTACTGCTCTATTGTAGGAGACAATGAGGATGAGGTATATATGACATGCAACAGGCTAATCACCATTAAATGAGGGTTCAATAAGAGTGATTTCCATTAGCTGTGTGAGTCTGGCAACTTAACCTCTCTGAGAGACTCAGTATATTCATCTGTGAAGTGGGGATAATAATCATTCACCGGGGTGTCGGTTGGCTTAAATAAGGCCATGCTTATAAGAACATTTAGCACAGATCCCGCTACAAATGAGTGCACAACAAAACATCAGTTACTATTACTCCCATTCACACAGGGAAACTGAGGCTAAGAAAGACTAAATAATATTCTCAGTGTCAAAGACCAAGCTGGGATTTCAAACAAGGCAATGTGTCACCAGAGGCCCTGCGGTGAGCTAAAAGGTCCTCTTGAAAGCTGACATCTTCAATGCATCTCCTGAGCCCCAAGGCAAATCACACAGGTGATGGATGGGGCCTTTCTTCAGCTAAGAATGCTCGTTGCTCGCTCGCTCCAGGGACACCTGGGCCGGTCTGGGTAAAGTTCCTGCGAGGCTGCCTGCAGCCCACCCAATACTCTGCTCAGATTTCAGAAACAGCGGTGTCTCCCCCACTCCAACATCTCTCAGTATTTGCTCCCTCTTCCTTATGGAGAATGAACCAATGCCCAAGAGCCAAAGCTCATCCCACGTCATTTCATCCAACAAATCTTTGAAGGGGTCCCTGAAGGAACTCTCCCTCCAGGCGTACATGGTGAGCTACTCCATCACTGAGGACAGGTAAGCTGTGACGGAACAGGCATGCTCGCACCAACCACACTCAGACCGCTCCTTCGGGCTCATTCCTCGCCCTGCACTCCCCCAGCCCGGCTGTGGAGATATAGATCTTATTATACAATCAGTTTGCAGCCCAGAAAACCAAGAAGCTATGTCCCTTCCCGACCGCTGCCCGGAATATGTGTGAGGATTATCACCTTTCAAAATTCCTCACTGGGGATTGATGAAATAATTTCATCAATCGTGCACCTGAGCAAGGGAACCCTGTGCCCCTCACAATTCGCTCTCAATAACAATCTGTGGAATGGGTGCATATGATCATGTATATGTAGGAACAAAAAATAACAATGTGTTCTATATTTTGCTAAAAGGGAAGGATGCTATGCGAAAGACAACATTGTTGAAAGAGAAGGTATACAGGATACTATTATGTATATTTTGCCCGGAAAAGTGTGTGTGAGTGTGTGTGTGTGTATGTGTGTGTGTGAGTGTGTGTGTGTGTGTGTGTGTGTGTATGTGTGTGTGTGAGTGTGTGTGTGTGTTGTGTGTGTGTGAGTGTGTGAGT